GAAACTTCTCATTGCTTAAAAAAGATCATTATGACACCGGTCCTTGGCATCGTATTAACTAACTACCTAACCCACATAGGTACTGTTGAAATCGGAAGCCCTCATCCGTAGGAATCCAATTTATGGCTCGTAAAGGGTATCCGTCCTAGCGGCAGGATGTGGTCCCGGCAGTTCCAATATTAGTCGGGATTTGGGGAACCTGTCATGTTCGATTCGGACAAGGATCAGGACGTTCCCCTGTCCGACTCGCTCAACAAAACCCGTGGTGCCGGGGAAGCTTTCCGTCGCGGCGGATTAACCATGCGCTCGCCTTGGACTGACGTGCTTATCAAATTACGGAGGAAAGAAAAATTTTTAACCCATACCCAGCCATCTTGAGCTTTGACGGATAGGAAGCATTATGTATTTTCAAAAACCCGCACCGACTCCGAACACCTTGGATTTCGGCAATGCCGTCACCGGCAGCCCTGTTCGAAGTTAAGAACTGGCCGCCGCTTGGTCAAAGTCCTATCGGCTACATAGTACAGCCCGCACAGGCGGAACGCTAGAATACGTAGAGAAAAGATCAACACAAGTCCTAGACGTATGTAGGTACACTACATACCTCCTAGGATGTTGACTACATACTTACCTAGGTTAGATATGCAAAGAAAGACTTCTGCATGGCAGGTAAACTTCTTCATGCTATGATATCAGAGCCCTGAGAGACGCGTCGTCTTATTGATTAGGTAACTACTCGAGATATGCAGGGGTTCCGGTTGTCCCGAATGATATGTGTTTCTGAGGACCTATCCGAGGGTGGAAATGAGGCTGATAGATTTTATTGGCGACTCTAATGAATCTTGTGGCGCGCGTCCCTGACCCTTATTAGCGGACCCTCGGCCATCAACTGGGTCGATCCCCTCGATTGGGTCAACCATTTTTCCTTCGGACCAAGATACATAGTCAAATGTCTACAGGGCCAGCCGCTCCGCCGGTCCCCGTCTTACCTCTTAAGATCCTTACTATGTAATGACTCGTGTAGTTGAATAAAAATAGGGGTGAGTAAGCTCGGCTTTACTTCTACGGGCAAGCGGGTTAGAGGCTCGAGCATTGCCGTGGGCGAAAGCTGGAAAGGGTCCATCGTCTGGCCAACCCGTCGTTTGTACATACCTACATACGTACGGCACGGTTCCAGAGAATAATGAGATATTGCATCTACATACCTACCGAGTGGCACAGGCGGCCAAAAAAGCGCCGAGCTCTTGGAACAAATAAGACCGCAGAAGCTACATACATACCTAGGTATGGTTAGATTAGGTATGTAGTTCACCAGGATAATATACAGTAACTATAATATCAAAGCTTTCCCCCTAAACAAAGCCAATTCCCATCCCACGGGCTCGGTCTGCGCACAGAGATGTCCTATGTATTATCACCGCTATTAAATTGGGACACATGCACGTAATAACTCGGTGGTAAATTACACAGTTCCAGTTGTTGCAGAAGCCTTTCCTTTTTCCCTACACGGTATTGCAGGGGTAGCCTACTTGAAACGGGTATTGTTGGTTTTGGATGAAGATACTGCTCGCTGAAGGCATGTACCAGCTACGAACCCAAGGCACCACTGAGCATGTTTCTCTAGGCTATGGCTTCATCGGTATGAAACCATTCGCATTTACGAGCGTACATCTATCGTATGTTACATCCATGTGAGAAGCAGACGGTTCTAAAGATAGGCGGCCCAGCATGAAATCAGGGGCGTACAGCAGACGAATTTGTAATGAACTAACTGAGAACTTGGAACACGACATCAGCCAGATCGACAGCGACGACGAGATTGTAATTCCCGAGCAACTCGAGCCCAATCAGACAATATTGGGCTTTTCATATCTGAACAATTCATCGATCACGTTGGCCGTTTCCGACCCTCCCGTCGTGTGACTTGGATGCTGAAGATGGACATGGAGGTTATTACTCGGAGAAGATTGGCCTCCAAGAACATCCAGCTGATCTATTACTCATAGGATGGTATATCTTGAAGAGGGGGGGGATAAAGTGGTGACTTAATTGCTATTGGTAGCCCCATATGCAATCTGGCTTTTATCTTGACATGTTTATTATAGATGCTGCATGGTAGTGGCAGTGACGTATGAAGCTATAAGCGCGCGGGTGTAGAGGTGTAGACATAGTTGAACCACTGTGATAATGAGTTTAATGGGTTGTCGTCGCGTACCGCGTTTTTTTTTTTTTTTTCCCTTTGCACTTGGAATAATTGAAATTTGGAGATAAGGCAGCTAAAAAGTTAGGTGCCATTACCTACCTACCTTAGGTAGGTAAAGGTGCCGTTCCTCTATTCTAAGCCACAAGTTGCAGCCTCAGAGAGCCCCACCATACTTCCCCCAGAAGCTTGCAGCTTCCAGTCCACCGGCAGGAAGCAACGTCAATCCTCGGGGCCCCCACCATTTGCCTCCATCCTCCATCTCTCTACCAACGTCCACCGACCCCAAACCGGATCTAGAGCCTCAATTAATCCACAAACGATCTAGACTCCTATGTACACGTAGCAGTAGGCAAATACGGGCAACTCTTCCTGATTTAGGCATCAAGAGCTATAGGAGCTTCTCTACATCAGTTGGGCAGCTCTTGTCTGCTAGGAAGCGCCAGTCAGCCAGCCAGCATGTCCATCATTCAGCAGCACACCTCGGCCTCGCTCGGCGACGCCTGGCGAACCATCAACATCGATGCCCTAGACCCTGACTCCTCGCAGAACTTCGACACCTCGACCCTACACCCGCCACTCCCCGAGATCAGCGAGGCTGATGTCCGGCAGCTTAACGGCCAGATACGCCAGCTGCTTCGTGGCGGTGACGCTGAAGGTGCCTTGAGAGGCAGCCTGGAGAGCCCGGTGTACAATGGCAGTGATTCAGCTAAGGTAGGCTATAGCCTTGGGCACCTGTAATAGGAGCATACGTGGATTAGGAAGCTTGGGATAAGGAGAACACAGGTGCTGACCACGAGGCTGGTATAGGATTCCCACCTGCAGACCGTAGTAGAGGTTTTACAATCGATCAAGGCGAGCGAGATGACACCGATGTTACAGCGAATCTATGGCACAGAAGGCGGAAGCGAATTGTTGGATGTATTGATGAAGTACCTGTATGCCCTCTTAATAACCCCCATAGCCGAATTTGTCACCACTGGTAGTTTGTCTAACCCCTATTTTCAGATACAAAGGTATGTCAGGCGGTGGATCGGCAAGCAGTGGACCTCGAACCGCGGCCCGGATGTTGACACCGCAGCCCACGGGATTCAGCCAGATCGGCTCCAGACCCGGGACTACAAACGAGTCTACGGGTACGGCTATGAGCGTGCTGCTAAGCTGGCACGAGAAGGTTGTCGATGTTGCGGGCTTGGGTAGCATAGAGCGATGTATGACAGACTGGCGAAAGGTTTAGAGTCGACTACTGCTATTAGAAATGGGATCATGATTTTTATATATCTTTTTTGCCTTAGCTACCTTGTGTAATTGCAAAATGCCCTCATCTAGTACACGTTTCTAAGTACCTAACCTAATACCTACATCGTAGTTTCCTACATCAAAATGCAGTTAAAGTCGTTGTTGCCGTAGTTACATTCCATGTACATGCCACATAAAGACGCGTCTTCCTGTTCTTGTGCATCTAGGTATGCTAATCCACTAGATCTTAGGGGTAAAGAGGCCTAATAAGAGCACATGGTGCGTCTACAGCGCAGTCATAGTACGCTATGTGTTTAGGTAACTATTGCACGGACTTAGCAAAGGAAAGAACGTCGCCTGTCTTGCGGTTTCCTTTCCCTACCGCGTTTCGGCCTTCTTGTTGTTTAGCACCTCTCGCCTTTCTTTCATCTTCTTCTCTTCCACTTGATTGAAACAACAAGCAGGAAACTTTCAACACATCTTCTTACTATCACCAACAGATGATCATTCCATACACTTTCCCTTTCCCCATGATGTTACACTATTACTAAATCTTCCGGGGCGCTGTAGGTAATTCACCTGATACCTTTACAGACATATCTCCTAACCGTCATATCATGTCAACATCTGTACCTACACCTCTTACATACATGCCTAGGTACCTAGACATATAAGTTCACCTTTGATCGACATTGTCAAAATGGCATATTGCGGATCTTGTTCGAGAGCTTTTGTCAGCTGGAAAGGTCTTCAGCAACATTGGAGGGACAGTTCCTTCCATACCCGTGACTCAAGTTACTGCAGCCCTTGTGGCAACTGGTTCCCCGATACGGACGCGTTCAAGGAGCATCTCAAGGATCTAAAGTTCCATAACACCTGTTTTATTTGCAACCTGGATTTCTTAGGGGATGAAGCCGCACTTACCTCCCATCTAGCAGAACATGGAAAATGTCCAGTTCAGCAATGCGGTAAAGTCTTTAAATGGGATCAACTCGATGACCATCTTCGCTATGCACACCTATACTGTCGTATTTGTGGCACCTCCTCTACATCAGCAGACGAGTTGAAGGACCATAGAAAAGCAAACCCCATGCATATCTAGTGCAATGTGTGTGGCGTTGACTTTTCTTCCGGATTGGAATTGGAAACTCACTGCAAAGAACATCATTACTTCTGCGAAAAGTGTAATATCGGTTTCACTGAGAAGAAAACACAAATCGACCACTTTATTACCAGTGATATTCACTACTTCTGCAAGAAATGTTCTAAGGATTTCATCAGCCCCGATGAGCTAGTAAAGCATTACACCATAGACTCAACTTGGACTCCTGGAGTGCAGCATTACTACTGTGCGAAGTGTCATTCGGATTTCAGAGACAATGAAAGCTTAAAGGATCATTATCTTTATTCGACTGCCCATTACTACTGTTACCTATGTGATGAGCAATGGTCGTCTAAGGCAGAAATGAGGCGTCATTTCATGGCTCAGAAGGAGGTACATTACTATTGTGGAATTTGTAATGTCCCCTTCAAAACCAAGGGGGACTACACTCTCCACGCCATGCAGAACCCCAAGTCGCATTACTACTGCAAAACCTGCGATGAAGTCTTCAAATCACCTATGGATTTTAATGATCACAAGCGACTGGTACCCGATCATTATTACTGTCCAGAATGTGATGAAGAATTCACAGACAGTAGCAAACTCTCGTCACACCAAGAAGCTAACCATGACTACTGCGGTGTGTGTGCTAAGGTTTTCTATTCGTTGTATGAACTCAATGAGCACAATTGTAGCCAACATGGCTACCAACACTGCCCAGCATGCTCAGAATATTTCCCCAGTACTGAGACCTTAGAAGAACATATTCAAATGACTCATTATTATTGCAAGCGATGCAATCTGGCTTTCGAGACGCATAATGCACTTGAACTTCACACCATAGGAAGCGGTCTGCATCATTTATGCTCACTTTGTAGAGTTGATTTGGAAGATATCGAATCTCTGGAACATCATGTGCAGTCGGAACATTATTCTTGTACGATATGCGAGCAGATCTTCGTGTCATCAACCGCGCTTCAGGAACATTTGACTCAGAGCAATGAACACTACTATTGCTCACAATGCAAGTGTGACTACGAAGACACTCAAGCCTTAAATATTCACCTTAAGATTCAGCATCACTACTGCAAGCTTTGCTGTATCTATTTTGATACTAACAAGGCTTTTGAAGCCCATAAGATTGAGAGCAGCGCTCATCATTACTGCGATATATGTGTTGTAGAGTTTCGTGAGCAGGAAACCCTAGACACTCACGTTCGGAGTTGGCACGTCATTGCCACCCATCCCGATGAAGAAGTAATGAAAGGAGTAGCAACAGGAGGAGAAATACTGAATAAGGGAGTAATGAACGAAGAGCGCAAAGACGAAGTGTCTAAGGGTGAAGAGGCTACAGGTGAAGAGCTTCATGGTGAAGAACTTAACGGCAAGGTGTTCAAGGTTGAAGAATCTAGGGATGAAGAGATTGGTGATGATTCTCAATCAGGAGAGGTGAGCCGGCGCCAAAATATTAAAACCACAGGACCATACTCCAAGGTCGAATTTTTACTAATACTACTGTTAGGATCAGCCAACAATCAGCGGAGCAAAGTGTCCCGCTTGTCTGGAGATGTTTCCCTCAAAACTCTCAACGATTCATCATTGCGAAGAAGGGGACTGCTGGAAAGAACTATATCGCGTCTTACGTCGTGAGGACGAAAGTAACGAATTTACTATTGACTCGGTCGAGAAGGCAGTGGCTCATGATACGAAGCATTTTCGATGCCCCCAGCCGTATTGCGGTGATTTGTTCACAAAATTCAGTGGTTTGATGAATCACCTCGAAGTTATGGAATGCGGCATCTGGCTAGAAGAGCGAGGGGGAGACGAACTCAACTATCTAAAAAGCTACCTGTCTTAAGAGAGGTTCTATTCAATGTCGACGAGGCTGATTTGTTATTGAAAGAATTGAAGGGTGCTTTTGTTGACGCCAAGGGCTTTGTTTTACCGAAAACCGCCGCATATAAAGATGGATATATGTTTGGCGAGAGAGAATTAGCAGGACTTGTTTATTCTGTTCCTTTGGAGCTATATTGGTTCGCATGCCGTTTGAGTATTAGGGGTTGTTAGGGTGGACGTGGATATGTATGTGTTTACTAATTGTTAATAAGTCACTACAAGGCGCAGCACTATATGCAAGAGGCATTAATGATACGAGTTCAGATAAAATTTATTTCTTCTCGAAAACATCCTTTAAACTAATCTCTCCACTACCTCGAGGTAATGGCTGACGTTGATCTTTTGATTCTTTCCATCCAATCATATAAATCATTCGGAAAGTAGCAGGTATTGATCCATCCTCATTGCCATGAAGCTCTCGGTAGATAGCGTCGTTGGCTAGGAGCACATCCCGCTGGATACCACCCATCTCACGACCGAGGACGGCATTGCTCTCGCCCATGGCCTGTATATCTTGCATGAGCGCAAACGTATCCGGGTAATCGACGATGATGTCATCAACGTCAACAGTCAGCATCTTGAAACCAGCGCGTTGTAGTAGACCACCCACGTCGCGCACGTTGGCCAGCGGCGATACATGCGGCGAGATACCGCCACGACGCTCCTGTTCGGCTAGCTGTAGCGACGTACGCAGCTCAAAGAGGGTATCACCACCAAACATGGCGCCTACAAAAGCACAGTCCGGCTTTAGGATATTATTGATTTGCGCTAGGACGCCTGGCAGGTCGTTGATCCAATGCATGCTCAGCGAGCTCAACACCAGGTCAAAGGTGTTGGCCTCGAAAGGTAGCGTCTCCTCGTCAGACAGGACTTGCCGCGTCATGTTGATTTCCGAGTTGAAGGGCTGGTCGGCATCCCGATACAGCAAGGTCTCGGACGAGTCTACGGCAAGCAAGTGTCCGATGCGGGAGACAAGGGGCTCGGTCACGGGCGCTTCGGGGTTGGGGTCCGGGTCGGGCCGTGTCAAGGCCCGCGCGATGTTGCAGGAGTTTGCGCCGAGGTCGAGGACCGAGGGGTAGTTGCGTTTGATGTCCTGCGGATTTTCTGTATTAGTCCCTTATACCGCAGGGAAAGCATTTGTACATATATAAGAGCGCACCAGCAGTCTATCGCATAATCGGATGGCTACTTCATCTTTCAGATAGTCGGCCACTCGACTGTTCTCGACGTGGGCGGCTGCGCGCTCCTTTTGTAGCCATTTTGTGTGACGGTTGAAGACTTGGTGGACGGGAGGTGCTGCGGCTTGGATGGCGTAGAAACGCCGGGGTATCAAGTTTGCTGATGATGCTGTTGTTGCTGCTGCTGCTGCTGCTACCTTCGAAATCCGTGTTGGCGGTATTGTTGACCTCCAGAGACCGTAATTCATCGTCAATTGGCTGTTTGTTCACATCCTGAAATCTGAAGCTTGGGAAGCTGTAAATAATGAATTGGCTCTGACGTCGGGGAAGCTTAAAGAAGAGGAGCTGGTGGTACATAATGTAATATCGATAAGTGAGATAAGTTAGATACGATGTACATCGATATTTAAAATCAAGCCACACTTTATGTATGTAAGAAGGTTCTATTCAAATCAAATCAAATGTATGGTCGAGGCGCAAATCATGTGCCCCACAAACGGTGACATTGCACGACGGGTATCCGACGAATAGACTTGGCTGGCTGGATTTAATAGAAGGTGTGGTGCAGGTAGCACAGGTAGTGCAGGTGCTCTCCTCTTTCGCCGCTCGGGGTTTAAGACGCTAAAGGACTGCTGTCAATTCCATTTACAGATTTATTCCAGACCTATGTGTCCCTGAACCTGTCCCTGAACCCGACACCGTAGATAATCGTCCAATGTTGTGCCACCAGCTGCGATACTCTAAATCTTGATAAAAACATTACATTTTGAATCCTGAATTGTCAATCGCCTGCCGACCGACTCTCGGACCTCGACACGAACCCTTCTTTTTTCCGCGTCGCTGTCCCTCCACCCCCTGTCTCCCGCTTGCCCTGGTCACGCTCGACCATGTTCATAGACTGACCTGGTCTATCATGAGAGCCGCATTTTCGAGCGTGCTTCCTCTCGGTATTGGACCTAAATACTTGGATTCGACTTCTTTTTATATAAACTAGTTCCACGTATCGCCATTGTTTATACAAGCGGATGCGACGGAGATAGCGGGTGTCGTGTAAGAATAGGGGGAATCGTTGTTGCGACTACACCATGGCTTCCTCCGCGGCGGCCGGCTTTCTTGGCCGGTCGAGCAGCAGCAACTCAAACATGCGTGGCCTCGTTCAATTTATCGCGGACCTGAGAAATGCGAGAGCTAGGGATCTGGAGGAGAAAAGGATCAACAAGGAGTTGGCAAATATTCGGTTTGTGGAAACAGGTCTTCCAATTGCCATTGAGGATAGGAGAGCTAACCTATAGTTTCTTTGTCACAGACAAAAGTTTAAGGGTATGCTATGCTTTAACCTGAGCGAACGTGAAATCTTCGCGTGACGTTGGAATGTCAACACGGGACTCTTGGACTAATGGATTACAGACGGTAATTTGAGCGGCTACCACAAGAAGAAATACGTTTGCAAAGTACGATGAAGCCACTTTCTACGCGAATCACGAACGGATCTGACGTTGGGCAATAGTTGTTGTATATTTATATCCTAGGTTGGAATGTCGACTTCGGACACCTCGAGGCTGTCAACCTGATTTCGGCGAACAAGTATTCCGAGAAGCAAATCGGATATCTAGCCATGACGCTCTTCCTGCACGAGAAGCACGAGTTATTACACCTAGTTGTAAACAGCATACGGAAGGACCTCCTCGACCACAACGAGCTCTTCAACTGCTTAGCTTTACACGCGATCGCGAATGTAGGAGGTCGTGAGATGGGAGAGGCTCTGAGCGCAGAGGTTCACAGGCTCCTGATTTCGCCGTATGTCGTTCCTTGGTGAAGCTAGCTGTGGTATCTAACAGCGAGTACAGGACTTCGAAGGCGTTCGTGAAGAAGAAGGCAGCCCTTACTCTCCTCCGTCTATATCGCAAGCACCCGGATATAATCCAACCGCAATGGGCAGAACGGATAATTTCTCTTATGGATGATCTCGATCTCGGGGTGGCCCTCTCGGTCACGTCACTCGTCATGGCTGTCGCGCAGGATAACTCGGAGCAGTATAAGGGTGCCTACGTTAAAGCTGCGTCGCGGATGAAGCGAATATTGATCGATGGGGATTATACTGCTGACTACTTGTACTACAAAGTCCCATGTCCTTGGATACAAGTCAAACTACTGCGGTTACTGCAATATTTCCCGCCCTCAGGTATGAATCAGTCCCGTGGTAAAGATTTCTGATACGGAAACTGACAAACCAAATAGAGGATAGCCATGTCCGAGAAATGATCCGAGAGTCGTTACAGAAGATTCTGAATCTAGCAATGGAGACGAATAAGAACGTCCAGCAGAACAACGCTCAGAATGCTGTATTGTTCGAGGCTATTAACCTCATCATCCATCTAGACACGGAACATGCGTTAATGAAGCAGATATCTACCCGCCTGGGCCGTTTCATTACGTCTAGGGAGACAAATGTGCGGTACCTGGGACTGGAGGCTATGACGCATTTAGCGGCTCGAGCTGAGAATCTCGATCCTATCAAGCAGCACCAAGAAGTGATTCTCGGATCTCTTAAGGACCGTGATATTAGCGTTCGCAGAAAGGGTCTCGATTTGCTATATAGTATGTGCGATTCGACCAATTCTGTGCCGATAGTATCGGAGCTACTTCACTATCTACAGAACGCCGACTTTGCGATCCGAGAAGAGATGGCTTTGAAGATTGCAATCTTGACGGAGAAGTATGCTACCGACATCCAATGGTATATTAATGTCTCTCTTCGTCTGGTGGCTATCGCAGGTGACCATCTGAGCGACGAGGTCTGGCAGCGAGTGATCCAGATTGTGACGAACAACGAGGAGCTACAAGTCTACGCGGCGCACAATACGTTGCAGCATGTCAAGCAAGATCACTGCCACGAGACTCTAGTGAAAATCGGAGCCTATATCCTCGGAGAGTTTGGTCACTTAATTGCAGAAGAGGCTGGCTGCAGTCCCATAGAGCAATTTATGGCATTGTCACGAAAGCTACCTGCTTGTTCCTCGAGTACCCGTGCCATGATTCTCTCTTCGTTCGTCAAATTTGTCAATTTATTCCCTGAGATCAAACCGCAACTTCTACACGTCTTTGAGCTATATAGCCATACGCTAGACCCGGAGCTACAACAACGAGCTTTTGAGTACTTGACTCTTACAAGCCTTCCGACAGACGACTTACTTCGAACGGTCTGCGATGAAATGCCGCCATTCCCCGAGCGACAGTCTGCACTCTTGTCAAGACTCCACCAGAAGCACGCTGGTACTAGTGATAAGCGAACCTGGGTGGTTGGTGGCAAGGACGCAAACAGCGACGCTGTGGAGTTGAATATGGCCAAGAACCCTGGTCTTAGGAGGACTTTCAGTTCTAACGGCCCAGTGAATGGTAATGGCTCGGCTAATGGCTCGGCAAACGGTTCCAACGGCCATTCTAACGATCTTGCCGGTCTTGACATGAATGCGGGGCCTGTTCCCGAGAAGCTGCTTAAGGTGCCAAACTTGGCCAGCGCCGCGCATCTGTCACCAGGCTGGGAATCGGGATACAATAAGTTGCTACTTAAAGCTGACGGTGTGCTCTTCGAAGATGGACAGCTTCAAGTTGGTATCCGCTCCGAATACAGAGGGCAGATGGCATGTCTTATCTTATATTTCACGAACAAGACTCCGGCTACAGTGAGCTCCTTTACAACAACGCTAGACTTGGACGAGAGCGAGAAAGAGAATCTAACATGGGACGTCAAATCTATGCCTGAGAGTTCTATCATGCAAGGCGCGCAATCACGATTGATCATCATGTTCGAGGCGAAGAAAGTGTTCACGAAGAGCCCTACCATTAGGATAAGTTACCTCGCGGGAGCCTTACAAGCCCTTACGTTGAAGCTCCCGCTTACGGCCCATAAGTTTATGGATCCTGCGGATCTCACAGCAGATGACTTCTTTAAGAGATGGAAGCAAATCGGTGGTCCACCGCGCGAGGCCCAGCAAATTATCGGCCTTGCTCCCGGTAAATCTAAGTCGCGAGAAATAACGGAAGACTTCGTTCGCAAGACGATCCAGGGGTTCCGTTGGGGTATACTTAACGGAGTTGACCCGAATAGCAAGAATTTTGTCGGAGCCAGCGTGCTCCACACCGCTGAAGGAGGCAAGTTTGGCTGTCTAATGAGACTGGAGCCAAATTATACTTCACAGGTAAGGCAATTCGGATATCATTACAGCATCGAGGTAGCTCAGCTAACAAACAATAGATGGTTCGACTGACGGTCCGCGCCACGGATGAAAGTGTGCCCCCCGTACTACTGAAGCTGATGGAAGAGAGGCTATCAGTAGGAATTTCCACAGCGCCAGAATTTCGCGATGCGCCAACACGCCGAGAGATATCGGATACCTTTGCTAATGTAATGGTTCAATAAGGTATTACCGGCAAGAGAGGGGATGAGAGGGGAAGAGAAAGTGAAAGAGGATGGTAATTGGTCGGAAGGGGACTTGAGATGAGGAGGTATGATACCGTTGGGAAACTAAGTTAAGCAATTATGCGGTTTTGTGCATTTCCAGCCCGAGCGAAAAAGGAGTTCGTAGGTAACACATGATCTTACATGTATCAAGCAAAGACGGCTGTGTTGCTAGAAGTGAATGATTGCCCCCTTATCTACCCCCTTATACGATGGCAGATAGTCTTTGTACGTAGGTAGTTGTTGTGTTATTATTCGCTCGTGAAGGTGAAGTCCTCACAAGATTAGACTGTTTTAGTCCCCATTGTAATGTTCACATAGTTGATTACCTGCAGTGTAGGGGGGAATGTTGCCCATCATGGCTTCCTGCTTGTCTAGGGGCCCATGGGGATCGTGACTGCATTTATAGCAGATTCGTGTAATATAGTTTCTGCAGCATCAGCCCCTGGTGTATTGCCCCTATCGTCCCCGGTGATGATGCGCTTAGTAACTTAAGTTAGGTACCTAGACTTACCAATGTATGCTGCTACCTGCTGCTTTCACGTTTATCTTAGGTGCCTGCGTGTATGTGCCTACCTACGTGTTTTCTCATACAGCTGAGATTTATCCTGGCTTGTTTTCCTATCACGCATAGGATGCGAGTAGGAGGGTTCAAGCCTTTAATCTACCTACTTACTCTCCCCCCTACTTCTTGGGATAACCTCAGTGACACGTGTAGACTTAGCCATTTACCCACCCAATACGCTTCCAATAATACCCTCCTCTTTACTTAAACCACTTATATCTCCATCGGCACTCATCACCGCAGCCATGGCAGCAGAGAAAGACAGCCTCGAGATCAGCCAACTTCCACCGGCGGCAGTACCGGGACCGGGACCGGGACTAGACCACTCGCACGATGTGCAGAACAGCAAGCTAGAACCTCACCCGGACTCCATCGATCCGGTCATGCCTGGTAGATCGGTTCTCCTTCGACACCAGCGCGTGCTACTCGCGCCTGTGACTCCAGCCCCAGCTACGATCGCTGCAACTCAGTCGAGCGAGAAGAGTCAGGCGAATGGACGCTCACCCGCGGGAAGCAGGATGTCGTTGAAGATGGAGCACATAAGAGACGTATGGGCTGGTACGTGGTAATTATCCTAATCCCCTCCTCTTTCTAGTGTTGTGGTGACGAGATAACTGCAAAGAGGCGAGAGAAATACACATAGATAGATAGATAGATAGAGAGGAATGCCGTTGAATGCTAACACGCCTTCCTATCACCAGATCTAAAGCGCAGAGTCACTCCGCAGCAGTACCCCCGCGCGTGGCTCCTCTTCGTGGCCATTATTACTATCGCGGCCGGCGTTATCATCGGTGAGTGCGGAGTTCTGTCTACCCTCATGCTTGTAGTTTTTAGGAAGGGCCTAGGTTAACGGGTTGGGCTAATGGATAGTGGTTCTGCGTGTAGCTGGATGGTGCGGTATCGCCGTCGAGACGATGCACCACCTGGAGTTGGTGAACGGGGCGATGGCTACTACGATTGTACTACCTGCGCCTCCGAACCTGGAGGTTGCTAAAGGGGCTGCTGTCACGAGCACGGGAAAGGAGGGCGATCTGTTGAGTCGTAAGCCTACGGGGTTCAATGCGGAGATGTTGGTGGGAGGTAAGTCTGCTTGAGACGGCATACTAGAATGTCCCGGTTTGCATATAGGTCCTTGTGGTTAACAAGTTCTTAGCTGTGACTTCGGGGACAGGCGGTCGAGACGTCGTATCGGATCTTTCTACAGGTTCAACCCCTATTTACGAGCTTACGGCGAAGACTGCTGTGGCGAGGGATCAGACCACCACGGTCTACGTCACTGTCACAGCCCCCCCTGAGTCGACTTCTACCACTTCGAGCGAGGGTACGGGCACGGGTACAAGCGCAAGTTCAATTCTGAGCCACGGTACAGCTCCGGCAGCTTCCATGACCACAGCACCTATAACCGCATCACCGACAACGACTACGTCTACGAGCACAGAGGAACCCCACATCTACTGCCCCGATCCCGAGCGCCCCCTAATCTGGGCGCCCTGCATCGATCACCCGACTTCAGATGCGTCCCGCGGAGTAGCGAACCCCTTTCTAACTGCATGCCGTGTTCTGGCGGCCTTGTGGAAGACGGCTACGGGTTATAGAAGTAAGAAATCGGTGTGACGTGCTAATCCTCGCGGATACCGGAGCGGTATGTGTGGGTTAGGCGTATAATGAGATATTGCGAAAAGGGAGGGGTCTACCCTAGGAAGAGGAGGTTAGGGTTTCTGATGAGGCAGATTTATTATGCTCTAGTCTCATTAATTATAGATGCTATGAGAGCAGGACTGGACCCGGTGTGTGTAAGGAGGAGGCCTGGTTATTGATTCTTTCTGACCTTGTACAGATCTCTTTCCAGTGCGGTGAGAGTGAGACATGAGTTAGGTTAACGTTGATGATTCATGAATGTCCTCGAGACTGATATGTGTACCAAGCTTTCTTTAATTGGCCAGCTTATAGCTTGAGTAGTTGCTCATTCCCCGTAGTGGTTCATGTATTACATTATAGATTAATATTTGCGTCTGCTCTACCTATTTTCAAGGCCTTTCTTCAGTACCGATACTACAATATACTCACCTATACTTCCATTATTTATGGATGAGAAGTGTAATAAGTACCGTAACTGTTAAAACATGGTCCTAGCCAATGATAGGGGTTAGGCGATAGGAGCACACTAACGAGCGCATTTTCTCCGCTGCAGAGGAGAGTTACCGTGTCGGTACCTACTACCTCCCTATGCGGATCATTATGTATACACATGCCCCTGAGATCCGACGCGCCAATAGACGACGTTGCCGCGTTTCTTTTTTTGCTCGTCTCCGCATCTATATGCAATATGCTATGCGTGGACAGCTAGTCACACGCTGGTGCCTGTCTTACCGCTGGTTGTTGATGCTTTTGTTTTAGTTTGGGTGTTTCAGGTATATATATATATATATATAGGTATGAATATGGGGTTTTGGTTGTTAGAATTACCTACTGAGAATATTGGTGATAAGTTATGTAGATAGATAGATGATATAATATAGAAAGGTAATTAATTAAAGGATATGTGACAAGTTACATAATACTGCTTATATATCATCCCCTCCTAGACCGGAACAAACCGAAACTCTTGAATCAAGCTCGGCCTACGTCGGAGCTCCGGATAGATAGGTGGGATTTGAACCAATGCGGGGGCTCGGTCCAACCACGCCTTACATATAATGTCGATGGCGTCAGAGGCTAAGGTAAGCTAAGGTAAGGATCGATCTTCTACTTAATGTATACCTACGTACTTAATGTGTCTATCCAAGCCTAGCTTCATGCAGGTAGGGACGGTAGGGACGGCAGGGGCATTATTTCTTAGGTAGGCACCTAGGTTAATATGTAACATACCTAGGTAGGTAGTCTTACCTTCCTATCTTTTCATCGCCGAGGCCTGCCCACTATTACTTTGTTTAGTACTTTTATAGGTGGTTAATGTTAATAAACTTCCAGCCTAGACTCGGATGAGGAGTTCCCTTTTCCCTTTTCCCTTAGGTATACGTCATTAATAATCTCAACTCTCCCCCTTCCCGCTATCTTACCTACATGTATGTACCTACATCATCCAAGTACTATGCCGTATGGAGGTAAGCTAAACTACGCGCGCGATTTGCGTCCCGAATCCGTCTATGGGTTATACATAAGGTGAGGGAGATACGAGGTGGGATAGGATATAGGCGTAATACTTTGCTTTTTTTTTTTTAAAAAAAAAAAAAATCTTTTTATCTTGTCACCTTCGTTGCCTATCTGTGCTCCCCGCTCCCCTCTTCTGTACTTGCTTTCCTCACCTTTACCAAACTTGTCAAGTCACAGACGAGAGAGACGACAGACAGAATACAATGGCGACTAACGGTATTAAAAATGGCCAGAATGGCGTCAAGAACGGCGACGACGAGAACGGTTGGTATGATCCGACCAAGATCTGGACGACGCTGCTGACGAACCGCGGCTATTTCGGTGGTTTGCTGGTGCTTCACCACTCTTTGCGCCGACATCGCAGCAAGTACCGGCTCGTGGTTATGGTGACTCGCGCAGTCGAAGAGGATACCGAGTATATGGATGCTTTCGCTGCTGCTGGTATTTCCACTATCGTCGTCGACAAGATCGAGCCGGCGCCTCGCGATGGCAAGATTAATAAGGGGACGTGGGAGAAGTTGGCCCCGTGGTCGTTTACACAGTACGAGGTAATTATCTAGTGCCCGGAATATTTATAATACACACACACATATATATGTATATTGTATTTATATAAGAGCAAAAGGCTGACTGAAATTGTGTCTCGTCGACAGCGCGTTGTCCTCCTCGACAGCGACCAAGTCGTCCTGCACAATATCGACGAGATGATGGAGGTCGACATCCCCGAAGGTTGGATCGCGAGCACTCACGCTTGCACCTGCAACCCGCGGAAGCTGCCGCACTACAGCAAGGACTGGGTCCCCGCCAACTGCGCCTTCACGGCCGCGGACCAAGAGACGGGCCAGCCAGCTCTTATCACGCCCCAGAGCCCGAATAACCACCACCTGCTGAACAGCGGCACAGTCATCCTCCAGCCGTCCAAGGCGCAGTTTGACGCGCTGATCGATGCTATGAACACTCATCCCGACGTCCCTAACATGCTCTTCTTCGACCAGGATTTACTGGCTATCGTGTACCGCGGCCGCTGGAAGCCCTTGCCGTACCATTATAACGCCCTAAAACCCATGCGCGCTTGCCACAGCGGTCTCTGGAAGGACGAGCATGTTAAGATCCTGCATTATATTTTAAACAAGCCCTGGAAGAGCCGCAGCTACGATGCTAATGATACTATCGAGTCGACGCATAAGCTGTGGTGGGACGAGTACGCACAGGTGGAGAAGGAGTGGACGGAGAGCAAGGACGAGAAGAAGAGGGAGTTGTGGAGGAATGTTGTTGTGCCTGTTGTTGCTCAGGAATGATTTCCCCGTTTCCCTTGATGATGTGTGTTCATGTCGTCATGTCTGGGTTTAGGGGGCGGATGAGAATGACTACGTGTATACCATTGGGTTTAATCAGGGGCATGGTAGAGAGATATGAGATATCCGACTTTGTTTGGATCTTGTACGCGAGCGCGAGCGCGTGGGCGTGGAGTAGGGGTTAATATGGATAGATAGCAAGCAGGCAAACAACTTAGAGCATCATGAGCATTTAACGACGATCTACAACAGGTAGTTACTATTATAACTTGTGTTCAGTATTCTTGATAGTGTGTTATTTCATTTTTTGTGAGTTTGGTGATCTGGACTAGTCCTCATAAACGCCCCCTGACTCCGCCCTATGTAAGATATACGGTTAGGCCAGGAGTCTGTCTATACCTACACACCACAACCACATGCCAAGGCAGATAGATACCACAAGTTACACCTTAATCTTAGCCTCGCTCTTGGGCCCCCGCGCGCCAAACAACGTGCTCCCGACGCGCACCTCGCTGCTCCCGGCAACAATAGCCCCCTCGTAGTCCTCGCTCATACCCATGCTCAGCTCCAGGTCCTCGGGCGCCAGGCCCAGCTCGGCGGCGACCGAGTCGCGCTGCTCGCGCAGGCGCTCGAAGTCCTCGTTTTCGGTGTCGGGGGTGGTGGCGACGCTGCGGGCGATGGCACCGATGGTCATGAGGCCGAGCAGGTGCAGGTTGGGCAGGGCGGCGACGGCGCGGCAGAGGGACAGGGTGGCGGGGCCGGGGGCGCAGCCGGATTTGGTGGGCTCGCCTGAGGTGTTGACTTGGATGTGGATGTTGATTTTGCCGGGGAGGGGGGTGGGGGGAGCGGTGGTGGTGGTGGTGGTGGTGGTGGTAGAGGGGGAAAGGGAGGAAGATGGAGAGGAAGAGAGGGACGAGAGGTATTCGCCGCGGTATTTGTCGAGGAGCTGGGCTTTCTTCTCGGTGTCGATGCTCGAGACGCTGAAGAGGTTGGGGATTTTGGCGAGGGATTTGCAGTGGCCTGGGTGTGTTAGTAAGAGTAAGGCGAGAAAGTGAGGGATAGGGGTAGTGTATCTGAGAAGATTCCATATCTCATCTTCTAATCGTTATAATATATCATGATATATTGCCTGCCATCTCCCCTTCAAAGAGTAGTAATATGTGGGAAAAGAGATATGAGAACGAGTGTCTTACCAGACTGTAGGCCGCCGATAAAATGCCACTGTATACTGCGTGGCAGCAGCTCGGCCTTCTGGCTCAGCTCTTGGGCATAGTTCTCGCCGAAGTGAAGCTGCGGCGGTGAAGCCTGCTGCAACAACGCGAGGATGTCGTTGGCTGGCTTCAGCTTCGAGACAGCGACTAGGCGGACCTACAATGATGGAGTTAGTATACATAAAGTAAAGAAACTCATGAAAGTGGGAGAAGCGGTGTAGCACATAATATAAGGTTTTCACAAGGGAACAGAGAAAGGTAGAACCAAACAATGTATTAAAATGAGTGTACTCGAATATGCTTGGTTCTTTAACGTGGTAAAGCTACTGAGGAACGGTTGTGACTTACATCGCGGCCGTTGGCCACAGCAGCGATGCGCTCACGCACGGTTTTGATCTGCGATACCAGAGCAGCAGCTCTTTGCGGGTCGATTTTCATATCTGTATCCGGCATTGTAGAGCCATGAGCTAAGTTTATGAAATTATTGGTACCTGGTAGTTGTAGAATATCCGGAAGTAAGAAGATAGCGTTGTTGGATTCTGACCACGCGACTACCAGCTATGTAATACGGAATACTTCTTTGAGAGTCATGCACCCATTAAGTTGGCATAAGGGAAAAAATATCACTAAGATAATTAATACAGTATATACACTGTCTAATAAATACACTTATAGAATCTCGATTGGATTGGTCGTGTTAAAAAGAAATTTTATAATGCTGGGATTTGGAAAATAAATTAGAAGTTGAATATATACGAAATATTTCTCTTTCTTAAACAATTTAAAATAATGAAAGATTGATGGCACAGGCGACAATGATCGAGCTGAGAGTTGTTGGTGTTAAACACCTTTATGTCTTTATGTCTTCGTAACACAATATCTCGCATAGTATCGGTACTACCTATCTCGTCACGGCTAGATCAAACCTAAGAAATAGGGACCAGTAGTAATTCCTTCGAGTAGGAGTTTATTCTATTCGCTGCAGCATTGTAACTTATCAAGATCAATATGCATGGTATGCAAGAAACTAGAGATGCGGTTAGGAGATTTCGCACATGGCTACCGGGAATGACGCTGCGTTGCTAGGTACCTATGTAGGTAGTCCGATATCGATAAGGAATACAGGCGGTTAGATATCGATAAGATAAGACTATATACATTTTCGAAGCTCAAGTCTGCATGTATTAGCGTCTAATGATCGCAATTGTGTTACTCACTCAGAAGTAAATATTTTGTATCAAGTTTTGCTAAACGCTCAACTTTATAACGTCGCGACTTCCTTATTTACATCATCTATACCTTATATCCTTTCGATGGCAGACCCCTTACTGACGTCGCTCTGCACCATCTGCCATATACAAACTCCAAAATACAAATGTCCTCGATGCAAAACCCGAACATGTTCCTTAGCCTGTGTGAAGAAGCATAAGAAATGGTCATCATGCAACGGAGAACGCGATCCCACAGTATACATACCGCGGGAGAAGCTGAAGACGGATGCCGGCATCGACCACGACTACAACTTCTTAACCAAAATCGAGAGATCCGTCGAACGAGTCGAGAAGTTTCTTAAGGAAGAAAAGGACATATTACCGCAAGATGACGCCGCATCGCGACCGCCGCCTAACAAAAGAGCACGTCTCCATAAGGGCCAAAGTCGCGGAAGGGTTACTTTTGAGCAGAATTCGCGGAGATGGGACAAGAATTCGATGCAGCGGATGCGGCAGCTGGGCATCCGCGTTGCGTCTGTTCCCTACGGCATGACTCGGGCGAAGGAGAACAAAACGAGCTGGAACAAGCGCACGAGGACTATGAACTGGCAGGTCGAATGGCTCGAGTGGAAATCTATTGGCTCTGCTGAGGGAAAGCCCGATACGGAACCCTCGAAAATTTTGCATAAGATACTGGATGAAGTTCCTCTCTCCGTTGGGTTCGCAGAGAGTTTGGAATATCATCGCCAGCGCCATCTTAGCAGCCAGGAACGTACGCAGGAGAAGAAGCAAAGATCCTTGGAGGACAAGAAGATAATCACTGGGAGCGGCCAAGAAGTGGCTACCACGGCTTGGAGTGGCGGTGATTATGTTATGCAGGACTCGAAAACGGCTGCGTGGAACAATGAAATTTCAGGGTCACAAACGATCGACAGGCTGAAGGATAAATACCGGTTCTTCTGCCTGAAGCCAAGGACACCTTCTAGGGAAGCACAAAGGCTCATACCGCTACGACCGACCGACAACTTGGCTACCGTTCTACCCGGGCTCGACATTGTCGAGTTCCCTACTATATGCGTATTACCGGCCAACTCCGCGGCTATTCCTGAAGGATATGTTGTTGAGAGTAGGCTGGGAAAATCTAGGAAGCGGCAAGGTTCCGGTTTGGTTGGATACCCGAGTGAAGAGGAGGGAGAGGCTATGGACGAGCAATTGGATGGACAGGATGACGATACCACGAGTAGTTCAGGGTCAGACTCTTTTGACATGTCAGAGTAATTAATGTGTGGTAATGATAGTCCCTCAATGGGGACGTCTTCTGGTATTGTGAATTAAATTCATGGTGACTGGGCTGTGTTTATTATCTAATATCACAGCCACTCAATAACTCAATGTTGTTACATTCATAAATATGTGGTAGAGTAGGCGTTTCCGCAGGTGTATTGGCAGGTAGTACTGAACAGAAGGATGGGACGTTCTAGGCGCCTTACTCGTGAATCTTGGGCAAACAGCAGTTGGTCTGTTTATGTATGTAAATAGAGAAAGTAAGCCTGTTGGAACAATAGCAATAAGTGAAGGAATCTTGTTGGTAAGTTCTGAGATGTATTTTCTGTGATGTACTTCGTATTGCAGCAAACGAGCCCCTAAAAACCTAGGCAGCTAATGGACGATATGGCTGTGGCTTAGCAACCAGTTGGACCTAGGAGTAGACATTAAAAAGGTGGCGCACCTTATATTGTTGACGCCCATCTGGCAAGTGAATACACCTCATGTAACGGGGCTGGTGCTAACGGTGCGGTTTGTTCAAATTTTAATTCTTCGCACCCGGAAATTCAGTCTCCTCTCTTTTCCTTTCAACCCTATCCCATCCAACCTCCTCCTCCTCCACCTTCAACGGTAAATTGCATTTATTTTTCGTAATTCCGTACTTTTCAAACGTCGTTACAGCAATTTATCTCTACTTACCACATACCTTGATTGCATTTACTTCCTCCTCCTGTGCGCGGATCGCGCACACCTTTTAACATATACCATGTCTGAATTTCTTGGGTACGCATCCGCATCCGCATCCTCGTCCTCATGTTGCCTAGCTACAGCAAGATTCCGAATGGTCAGTCTGCTAACCCTAATGCAAACGCAGCTCTCGCATATCCCTCATCTCGAAGAGTGATATCCGGTAAACCTCCCCCCAAGCCAACGGTGCTACATTGGAGCCCCGCCTCTAATCTTAATAGCTATTCGGGTGTATTGCACGAGATCAATTCAGAAGAGTCGACGGTCTCTCTGGAAAATGTCAGATCGTTCGGTACCGAGGGCCGCAAGGGTAACCCAGAAGAAGAGATAGCACCTTCTGATCAAGTCTACGAGTACATCGTCTTTCGCGGTAGCGACGTGAAAGACTTGCGAATCGAGCAAGCTCCTGTTCCTCCTAAAGAGAACCAACCTCCCAAGGTTCCGGATGACCCTGCTATCGTTGGAGTAAGTTGCCCTTCTCCACTCCATTCTACAAAGCCATGTCCATTGCTATGACGAAACATCTCGGATGTAAAGTATTACTTGTCTGAAAAGCGCAAAAACCCCGTGTTGATATTTCCGTTGCCTTCCTTCTGAGCTATCATGGAATTAAAATATTTTTAATTTATTTAAAATATGGAGCTGTTATATACTATGAAGCATTGATGCTAACTACATGCTCTCCATTATAGGCTCGTACTCGTCCTGCAGGTGCCATTCCACCTGGTTCGGAAGCTCCAGGCTACGGCCAAAGTCCGTACCAGCCCAACCCGTTCTATCCTCCACCTCCTGGACAATGGGAACGTGGTGGCCCTGGTCCCGTTCCGGGTCAAGGCTTCCATGGAATGCCCTACCCACCCCCTCCCGGCTGGTTTCCCGGCCAAGGTTTCCCGGCTGGTGGACCTGGAGGGCCTGGTCCGTGGAATAGCTTTGGATACCCGCCTGGACCTGGACCTCAAGGGCCTCAAGGACCCCCTGGCATGCCTGGCGTACCTAGTCAAGGGATGAGGGGAACACCCCAGCAGGAGAGCAATAACAACAAGCCTGCTCCTATCGGTGCAGGCGTCGACAAACAAAGACTGGTTGGTAACCCCGCGGTTGAATTACCTACGGAGCCTAAGTCACTTGCACAGCAACCTATTCAGCCTGCCCCAACGAATGTCGCCCCGACCCCGCCGGTCGAGTCGAAACCTACTGCGGCGGAAGTCAAAGCTACTGCAGAATCTCTATCGACAACGAACGCCCCTCCGACCAACGTCACTGAGAAGAAGGCCGCTCCAACCGGTCCTAAGAACAACCGAGTCCTCCCTGCTGTGCCGATTCAGGCCGCAGTCACTCCGAAAATCGCCTCCCAAGTTACTGCCGCCGCTTCTACAGTTAAACCCGCAGGAGGGCAAGCTGCTGCTCAGGCTGCACTTAAAGATGCCACCCAAGCCGCAAAAGAAGCAGTTGCTGTCGCGATGGCGAAGCTTAACAACTCTGCCGCTGCTGAAACCTCTGCACAGAATGGTAGTGCAATGGACAACTTGACTAAGAAGGTCAACGAGATGAGGATGACCGCTCCCAGGTCCTCGGCAAACGGTAGGGGACGTGGCCGAGGCGGTCGTTCCGGCGGACCAACCAAGGTCAACGTTCCGGATTCCGACTTCGACTTCGAAGCTGGTAATGCAAAGTTTAACAAGCAAGATCTCGTAAAAGAGGCTATCGCGGGCTCGCCTCTCGTTGAGGTCATCCCTAATGCTCCAGCCCCAGAGCAAGTGCAGACCGACGATTCCGCACCTCCTGTTGCCTATAACAAGACTAGGTCGTTTTTCGATAATATCTCTAGCGAATCTAAGGATCGCGCCGAGAACGGCGGCCAGAAACCTGGCGGGCGAGAGTGGCGCGGCGAGGAGCAGCGCAAAAACATGGAGACATTTGGCCAGGGAAGCGTTGATGGTGGCTACCGTGGTGGTTACCGCGGCCGGGGCCGTGGCGGACGCGGCGGCCCTCGTGGTCGTGGCTTTACCCCTCGAGGAAGAGGGAATGCATACCGCCAACCCGCAGCTCAATGATTTACGTCGGCACGTCCGGCGTATGCAAATGTCGCACAGTCGACAAATCGTCTTTACGTTCATGACTTCCTACTCGTACCCTCAAGCGCAACATCATTTAGCAGTGTATTAATACGGCAGTTGCATGATCTGGTTTTTCTTTTTCCACGCGCAGGAACTTGGTGGATAATGACGCGGTTTTGCCATGCTCCAGAGCTCGATAGGCATGATTTCAGTTGAGGCTCCTAGCAACGGCGTAAGGGTGGTTTGGCAAGGGGGCAGGTACAATTCTTGCATTCGCATCACGAGCACGATCACACGATTTTACGTTCGAGACGAAAAAGGGCCTGGCAGTTTCGGCTCGAGCGCAGGAAAGGTTTCTTGCAGGAGGCGTTGATACATACAAATAACTCTTGAGGTACTACCGTTTTGGTAGCGTGCTCGAGAAAAGACAAAACACCTGCAATAGCGGGCTTGATGTTTGTAGATGGCTTTGGCCTTTTAAGTCGGTACATAAGCTGAGCTGCAATGGTTAATATACACAACCATCAAGTCGTTCTATCTGTTTCTTATGCGGTGACTTGTGACTTGTGACTTGTAGTAATTCAGGCCATAATGTCTATATTTTCTATATCTCCCCTAACGGCTTTATACTTTTGGGTAAACGTCCCTATGAGAAATATTAGTCAGTAAACGGAACGAGGTAGGTCGGCTTGGTATAAGCAGAAATATCACGTATAAGGGAAGAAAAGGGGGGGAAGGCAACATACGTCCGCCTCACAAGCGGCATCTGCTCGCGAACCTTGTCCCACACGCCCAAATCCACATGCACCAGTCCCAGCTGGCCCACGGCGCCGTCCTCAACCTCGTAACCACCGCCGTCGCCGTCCTTGTCCCGCACGCCCTTCAGCTCAAGCATGACCCGCCCCCAGGGGTCGACGACCATGCTCCGGCCGTAGCTCGTGCGCGGCGACAGGCGCGGGTTGTGGGTGCCGACCTGGGCGGCGGCTATGACCCAGGATTGGGTCTCGATGGCGCGGGCGCGCAGAAGGGTTTCCCAGTGGGCGAGGCCGGTGGGGATGGTGAATGCGCTGGGGTAGAGGAGGATTTGGGCTGGGGGGGAAGGGGTGGTTGTGGTGTTGGAGGAGGAGGAGGAGGGGGAGGGAGTGGTCAAGTGCAGGGCGGGCTCCGGGAAGCGCAGGTCGAAGCAGATGAGGCTGCCGATGCGGCCGACGGGGGTGTCGAAGGGGGGCGTGAATGCTGATCCGGCTTGGGTGGTGGTGGACTCGCGGAGGGAGGCGTCGGGGTAGTCGAAGAGGTGGAGCTTGTCGTAGGAGGCGGTGGGGTGGAGGGTGCCGTCGGGGTTGATGAGGATGGTGCGGTTGTAGAGTTTGGTTTGGGGTGAGGGATCTTCTTCTTCTCTGGTACTTGGTTGTTCTGATGCTGATGCTGATGCGGATGCGGATGCTGAAGGGGTAGAAGTAGAAGCAGAAACAGAAACAGCAGAAGGAATAGAATCTGGGTCCTCGGAGTGCGGAACGGAAGATAAGACCGGATTACTAGGAGAGAGAGACGGTTTCACGGAGACGGGCACGTGGATGCCGACGTGCACGGCAAGCTTGTGCTTTGCGGCGGCGGAGCGCAGTCCCGATACGAAGGGGGAGGTGGCGAGGGGTTTGGCGAGGGAGAGGGATTCCTGGGCGGAGGAGCCGATGTAATCGGATGCTTCGGGGAGGAAGAGGACCTGGGGAGGTCAGCTGGGGGTTGTGTTGTGTTGTATTGTGTTGTGTTGATAGAGGGGGGTAGTATGGATGGGAATAGCGTCAATATCTCAACCTCGAGGGACAGAAAGTGGAAACTTGAACTTATCCATCCCCCTTTACATACTTTCGCTCCAGCAGCCGCGGCTTGGCCCACGAGCTTGACGCATTGCTCGAGATTATGTGCCATCGAGTTGGACGAGCATATCTGCCCTATCGCCTATAGAGTAGTTAGCCATGTATACCTAGGTATCTATCTATATCTCCTCATATCCCTTTTGGTGTTTGTATTCTATAGGAAGTAGATAGGAATAGGGGTAGGGAAGGGTATATCATCAATCTTACCGCCTTGGCCATCTTGGTGTTATATATACTCTTTATATATATACCTTTAGGAGGTAGGTATATAATCAGCCGTAGTCCACTCCTCCTCGTCTCGTAAAACAGCGCACGCGAATCTAACAACCTATAGTATGTAATAATAATAATAATAATAATAATAAAATACCTCCGACGAAACACACCAAGTAACCGACCCTGCGTCCAGTTTACTAAATTTACCACGGGTCAAAAATGCTAGGTTAGGGGGGGGGGGGAAAGATGACAACCGGAAAATAAAATGCATCAAGCCATTCGGAGGTTTCTTGACGCCATGTCAAATGAATCGGGGAAGGTTAGGGCCATAGTTCCCCACTTCCGTCCGATGTCCTGGGAAAGGGGCCGAATTACGGCGGTATTTAGGTTGGGTATGTAAATATTTAACCTACACTTATAGATAACCAAGCGTCACGGGAATCATATATATATTATTTCATTTATACGCTTAGGTACGCATCACAGCACCGCTCTAAAATAAAATAAATCCTCATCGCACATGCGCTCGCGCGTATTTCACTGGCCATTCTGACGAACCATCTAACCTAGCTAGATATCTACGCAGCCCACCCAGCTAAACAACCGAATGTTATCCATCCATCCGTCCATCCGTCCATATTGACTGCTAGGCATAGCCTTATGATCAGCCAGCCGGCCTCGGGCTACTGGTACGTAGAAACGCAAAATTAGGCCTAGTGGGCTCCATCTTATACCACGCCAATACCAACACACTGTCGAAGTCGTTCCTTCACGAACCTCTTGTTCGGATCGGTTGTTCTTTTCCTCGTCCGCTAGAGGCTAGCTGTCCTATCGGCGGAGGTAGGTCCAAAACAAAACCAGAGAAAAAAAAGATGCAAAAGCCAACCGTGCCCCCCTGTTATGCCCTCTGATGCCAACGCCTGGCTGTGAAATGTGGAAATATGTATACCAATACAACGCGAAGTGTCTAGAGGGTATAGTATCCCCCCCCCCGGAAAAGTAAACTTGACCCCTTTTTATTTCATTACTCGGCCCCTTTTAGGTCGCCCTCATTTCGGAAGACCCTTATTGTTTTATACTGTCAATTCCTTAAGTCTCGAGGCCGACTGCCTACCATCACGACGTATTCTCTACCGTGCCTTTGGCAGACCTGTCTAAGATGTCATAAGCCTGCTGCAGAGCCTTCATATCGAAGCCGCGTTCTTCTATAACGACGACCCAGTCACGAAGTTGGATATTCTTTCCTTTATCCGAATCCTCGCGGAACTGCCCGAGGTGAGTGACGCCCGCCTTCGTCAGGGGTCCACGAGGAGCCTTGCTGCTAGCTGCGGCTGTGGAACCTGGCGTGCCCGGTGCGCCCGCAGCTTGAGGTCGAGGAGTACTTGCACCGCTGCCTGGGCCGCCCGAATTCGTCATCCACGAATACTTCTTCTTCTTGCCACCTGCAAATAGGCCCAACGTCTGGTTCACAGTCGTACTGCTCGCCTCCGCCAGCTTCGCTGCCTTTTTGCTCTCCTTTTTCGTAGGAGCTTTCGCCTCACCTGAATCCGGTGCCATCAATCCAGGTGTGCCTGGTGCCACGGACCCGGCTCGCGACGTACTATCACCGCCTTCCTTGTCCTTGTCGGTACTTTTCTCTATGCGCTTTAGCCGCTTTCTAAGCCGAGCCTCTTCGGCGTTGCGCGCATCCTTTACGGTTCCTGTCATGGCTTCCACCATGGGATTGACAGGAGAGGCTTCCGACACTGGCGTTGGGAGTCCATTACTAAGCTCGTCCGCCGAACCTATAAACGCAGTTAGTTATACAAGATACGAACAGAAGCTTTACGGTTAAGAAGTCCATACGTTTGAGTGGGTTTGTGCGGGGGCTAACCGCGCTCTCCACACCCGTCCGCGGGCCCTCACCCTGGGCTCCGTTCGCGTCGGTCGACGGTATAATGGCTGCATCAAGCCATTCGGAAGGTACAGCACCATGAGAGGTCTTCTGTCGCGTAGTGGCAACCCTATTTGCATCACCAACCAGTTCCCGCAAGTGCTGTTTCGTACTAATCGACAGCAGCGCTATTTGGTCGACGAGAAAAGCATCGTGAGGGATAAACGAGCCAAGCGTCTGCACCATCGTGCCATCCGGGGACTTCTGGTACATAACCTTGATCTCCGGCTTGGCGCCGGCAGGGCTTGCCATTTTCCCCATAAACCGTCCCCCGTCCGGCTTTAGGTCCACATTCAAGTTGAGGCCGTACTTGGCAGCCGTGTCCGCCATTCGCTTGTGTACCACGCCCGGTTCCAACAGGTAGTTGGCTATTTCCTGACTTCTAGTCCGGGCAAGCCGTGCCGCTGCGTCGTTCCAGGCTCTATCTGCACTCTCCGCAGCAAGCTCCTCCTGCGTTTTCGCATTGGTAGGTTGAGCAGGTTGGTTGGCAGGCCCAGCTCCATACAAAGTCTCGGGCCCGCCAGGTGGGTAATTAGGGAACCCACGAGACTCTAGATTATTCAGGTACTCTGCCTCCTCTTCTAGATCGATACCCGTGCCTACAAGCATATCGTCTACATCGTACGTAACGTCTGCCTTGGTCGATGTAGGCTTGAGGCCTTGTCTTGTCGCATCATTGGACGAGAAAGACCCCGCGGGATTCATAGTCGGCGGTCCCATGTTGGTGATAACCGGGTGTGCCGAAGAAGTGAATGAGGTATTAGTAGGAACCGGCGCAAGCTTCGCGTTAGAATAAGGCGCGTGGCTGACGTTGGGAGTCTGCGGCTGAGGCGATGCTAGAGGTGGTGTTGATACCGCTGTTGGCATCGTAAGTGTCATACCGACAGATGCAGATCGACCATTCGGTTGCTGGTAAGGCGTGTTGTAAGTTGCTGCCGCAGAAGCTTGATTGATGTTATGGTTAGGAGCGGGAGCCGGTGAGGGTAGGGTCATCGGTGTAGTCGCCGGAGTAGTAGCTCTCGGACTTGGGGCATAATTCGGATACGGTGAGCCTGGATTTGACGGAGGCCCAGGGGACAATCTAGCTCGTTTGTTGGGAGGAAGCTGATAAGGTTGATTCGGAGAATGCTGCTGAGGCGAGAACTGCCTCGGGGGCATCGTAGGTTGTGGATGCGACATGGCGACAATGTATCGAGCCGGAAGAGTACGGACAGGTTATCGGGATATGATGTAATTAATTATAATACGAAGAAGAGTCCTCGGTCTGAAACAATGAGCAGTAAATATCAACCCTTCTTCAACACGCCCTCTGAACCTGGACAGGCACAGAGCCTGTCACAATCAACCGGGCGAAACCCATCCGACGATGCAAGAGGTAGGGTGCGAGGATATGTATTGGAAAGGCGATCTGAAGGCGACAAATACAATACCGAATAAGGTCGAAACCAATGAGAGAGGCGGGGGGCGCGTCGGGACGGTAATGGTTGGTGATGGGATATTGATGTTTGGGATGGATGAGGAGGCGATCTTAGACTTCAGCAACACAAGAAAAGCTCCTGTTTCCCCATTGGAAAGATTTCGTGTAGTACCAACGCACGGTCCCCACAGGCTTCCCTTTAGTGACTGAGTTGACTGGGTTGATTGAAAGGTTTTAGATACGTACCTATTGTACCTAACTTAAGTACCTACCTTAGGTAACCGGTAACCTTAGGTAACTTTGCTTGGCCTTCCCTAGGTCGTATGCTTTATCGGATCAATTAGAAGCCGATTGATGAGCCGCAAAAGAGGGTTTCTCTACATTAGGTTAACAGGTCCACTATTACCTTAGGTACTATGTACATACCTAGATCGGATTGGAAAGTACCTAATGCGCGACCTAACGCGCTAAACTTTAGGTAGGCACATATGTAATTTACGCCTACTGAATACCAGGCAGGCAGGCACCTACTCCAATTTGCTGCTATTGCTGCTGCCGCATTCATTCATTACGTACCTGCCTTGCCAATAATATGTACAAGCTGTAAAATCCACATCTCGACCTTACATAACGTCCAAACTTGCGTCTTCATTATTGGTTCGAGTGCTAAAAGTTAATTGACCTTAATTAACTACACGCGATCACTCTGCGTAATGCTCTCATCTTGAGATGACATCTATTGTGTGCTGGCCCATTAACAACCTTAGTGCGCTGCTACGCTAGACCGCATTCCTTTGTTCCCCTAACTATCTGGCAACAAACACATTTTGGTTTAGGACCAAACAGCGCAACTCCAACAATCCCATCACGCAGCTTTGAAAGCTCCGTCAGCCATGGCATCCAAGCGCAAGGCTTCGGCAATGGCTGCGGCTTCGGCTGTTGATGAGGAACCAGTAGATCCAACAGACGAGCTGATGTTTCTCTGTCTAGGAGGTGGAAACGAAGTCGGCCGATCATGCCATATCATCCAGTACAAAGGAAAGACAGTCATGGTAAGTTGATTTAAACTTGACTCTCTCTAGGTTATATAGTCCCTAGCTAACAATACATTTCTGTATAGCTCGATGCTGGCCAACATCCTGCTTACGATGGCCTCGCCGCTCTCCCCTTCTTTGACGACTTCGACCTAAGCACTGTCGATGTTCTCCTTATTAGCCAGTAAGTTTATCCTTCCGATCCTCGTTATACAATACAGCTGTGGATGATCAAAGGGCTTCGTATCGGTTGGGGTGGAAGGTATTATCTGAGTGCTCTGCCATGATATTACGCCTGCGGACTTGTGGATGTTCATGACTTTGCTCTCATGTATTCAACTATCAATAAAATATATTGCCCCATCACCCAGCTGGTAGCCCCCTTTTGACTGCCGTGATACCCATTGCGATAGCTGTTCTCCTTTAGCTCTTAGTTCCAGCATTCTATACGTCCCAAGAAGTATGCTAACATCGGCCAAGTTTCCATATAGACCACGCCGCATCTCTTCCCTATGTCCTAGCCAAGACCAATTTCAGAGGCAGGGTCTTTATGACGCATCCGACCAAGGCTATCTATAAATGGCTTATCCAAGACAGTGTCCGAGTCGGCAACACTTCATCGAATCTTACATCACAGCCCGTATACACGGAACAGGACCATCTGAATACCTTCTCTCAGATCGAGGCAATCGATTACCACACAACTCACACTATCTCTTCTATTCGGATTACCCCTTATCCTGCCGGTCATGTACTAGGTGCTGCAATGTTCCTCATAGAGATAGCTGGTCTAAACATATTCTTCACGGGAGACTATTCTCGAGAGCAAGACAGACATTTAGTATCTGCAGAGGTGCCTAGAGGCGTTAAAATCGATGTGCTTATCACTGAATCGACTTATGGAGTATCAACCCATGTCCCAAGACTGGAGAGGGAACAGGCATTAATGAAGTCGATCACGGGTATCCTCAACCGAGGTGGACGAGTTCTAATGCCTGTGTTCGCTTTGGGCAGAGCTCAAGAGCTGTTACTAATCTTAGATGAGTACTGGGGTAAGCATCAGGAATTCCAAAAGATTCCCATCTACTACGCTAGCAATCTAGCACGAAAATGTATGGTTGTATACCAGACGTACATTGGGGCTATGAACGACAATATTAAACGTTTGTTTCGAGAACGGATGGCAGAAGCCGAGGCTGCAGGAGATGGTGCGGGTAAAGGCGGTCCTTGGGATTTCAAGTATATTAGGTCTCTCAAAAGTCTTGACAGATTTGACGACGTTGGCGGCTGCGTCATGCTTGCAAGCCCTGGTATGTTGCAGAACGGTATTAGCAGAGAGCTGCTGGAGAGATGGGCACCGAACGAGAAGAACGGAGTTATTATCACAGGTTATAGTGTCGAAGGTACCATGGCCAAGTATATCGTCCAGGAGCCAGACCAGATTCAGGCCGTCATGTCGAGGAGTGTCAATGCCGTGCGGAGGGCCCCTGGTGGCGATAGCGAGAAAGTTATGATACCTCGAAGATGTAGCGTTGCCGAGTATTCTTTTGCCGCGCACGTCGACGGCCAAGAAAATAAGGACTTTATCGAAGAAGTCGGAGCTCCCGTGGTGGTGAGTAGTAGTCTTGCTGCTGTAATATATGCTCCTTTACTAACCCCACTAGATTTTGGTGCATGGCGAGCAGCACAATATGATGCGGTTGAAGTCCAAGCTATTATCATTGAACGCGGGGAAAACAGATAAAGTCAAAGTGTTTAGTCCTAGGAATTGTGAAGAACTACGCATCCCATTCAAAACCGATAAGGTTGCTAAGGTAGTCGGCAAACTTGCGTCGATACCCCTCCCAAAGCATTTACCTTCGCCTGACGACCAAAACACCGAACTGGTAGCCGGAGTCATCGTTCAGAACGACTTCAAGATGTCGCTAATGGATCCCGAGGACTTGCGCGAATACGCGGGTCTTACGACTTCTACGATCGCGTGTCGACAGCGATTTACCTTGAGCGCAGCTGGTATCGACCTCATCAAATGGGCTCTCGAGGGCACGTTTGGTAGCATCGAGGAACTTCCGGAGACTAAGAATCGAAAGGAGATCTCCGAGAACGAGGAGACAAACGGGGATGACAAGAAGACCGAAGCAGACGAAGAGATCGCCCAGCTTGTTGCGGCATACCTGGTCATGGGTTGCGTCACGGTGCGATATCGCAACAACGGTGAGGTGGAACTGGAATGGGAAGGCAACATGCTGAACGACGGCATTGCCGACGCCGTCATGGCTGTTCTACTATCTGTCGAGAGCAGCCCTGCTGCTGTGAAGCGTAAGCAAAATGCCCTCTAGTCAGCCTAACTCAAACTATTCCCCCCACTAACAAACACATTTAATCAGGATCTGCAAACAAGCATTCCCACTCCCACGAGTTGCCGGTCCGCAATCCTCACGCCAATCTCACGCCGGAGGAGCGGCTGGAACGCCTGTTCATGTTCCTCGAGGCACAGTTCGGCGCCGACGCGCTTACACCCATCACAGTGCCCAAACTGCCGCCTCTAGTCAAGGACAAGAAGCCCAAAAATTCAGATGGCAACGACGAAGACGCCGCTTCCGATGCGTCTATGGAACTGTCAGATGACGGCGACGAAGAGGAGCGGCTCCTAGAGCTGCGGCGGAAGACGGAGCTCGAGCGTCTGCACAAGATCGGCATTCCCGTGCCGGGCGTTACTATCAAGGTGGACAAGATGGTGGCTACGGTCTGGCTCGAGGATCTCGAGGTGGAGTGCCAGCACAAGGCGTTCGCTGACCGGGTCAAGGCTGTTGTTGAACGGGCTGTCGAGATCACGGCGCCGCTATGGGGCTGATATCATCGTCATCCTTCTCCTGTCCTAAGATGATTAAGATGAGATCGCGGATAAGAGGCTAAGTCGTCATGCACATATGTACACTATTACTAAGTTTATGAGTTCTGAGGCTACGTAGGTAGTGGAGTGGATTTTGCGAGCTGGGGAGGATATGATATGGCACGACACAGCCGTGCCGGGTCCGAGATGTGGTCATGAGATAGGCGCGCGCGAGAGGTCTTATGAGGAGGCTACGGATTAACCTAGGTTCTGCAACGTCTGCATATCATACATACCTCCTTAGGCCTAGGCACATTTCCCATCAGTGGCGGGTGTGATGTTTGAACATCGCCATCTTTCAATAGCCGGGTTATGTCCTTGATGAGTAAAGAACAAGAATTATACCTCGATGAGTAACATGATTCTCGATACTTGTACGTGACCGACTCGGAGGCTCAGGCGAGGGGAATCCGTCCGATGTCATTCCGTGATCACCGCATAGGTCTAACAAATTGTACATGTGCCGATTTATGTTATGCCTTACATCTATATGTACAAGTTGGTGTACACTGCTTCGACACTGCTTCGACACTGCCAAGGTTAAAACTATTCTGGCGGTTGGGATTTACTTATAGTCCGAAATTCAAGTCCTGGCCCCTTATTCAATGGCTTATTCAAGTGCTGTAGGTAGGCAACGTACATCAGACTGATGATATATTGGCCGCACAAAAGTGGTGCATTTATTTACTAACTACATGATTATATACATTGTACTTCCTAGTCGCCTCCGCTGAACCGTAGGCTTGGGTACCTCACGCGGGAATTTTAACCAATAAGAGACGGGAATAAGTAGGGCATTGCTATGTATTGGCCCCCTGCGTAGGAGTCAGCCTCTGGGGCTTAGCCATTAAGCCTCGCAGGCTATGGGGGAAAACACCAAAGTGTAAGTGTAACCTAAACCAACATAGCCACTCATGTATCAAATTCAGACAATTACAATTTCAGCTTTGAGACATGCCGGAATTTAAGTAAAAGAACCTTGTAAAAGAACCTTCCTCTTATTGTTATAGTCGCCCCTTAATCAGTACTTGATTTCTACATAATCCGGCTATGGGGGGCAAGGCAGAAAGGGGGGCGATATCGATGGCGATCTATCATCGTCATCTTAAGTAGTATATAATTGTAAGGAAGTAAGTGAGTGTATGTTGGTATGTGTGCACAGAAGATTTGAATAGCAGAGTCTAAGTCGGTCAACAAGCAAACGAGTCAATGCAACGACCAATTAGAAATTACAATTGAACATTACAAACAAACACTTGAATATTATTAACATTAATAATTAACTACCTACTTACCCGTCACGAGCAAACAATTGCAGTGTCAAGAACGAGCACAGCCAAGTTTCGGCAAGACCAATTCTCGAAAGGGAAAGGGGAAAGAAACAAAGACATACATTCATACATTCGTCACTCCCTTTGCTATTAGTCTTTAGTCTTAGGCTTTCGGTCTAACGAATTAGAAACAAACTCTAACTCAGCTCCGTTTGCTCTTGCCCTCGTGCGAAGGCACTAACACACCTACGTACCAACAACAGCAACAACACACTTGTTCAAGTTCAACAATGCAAGCCATTTTTACCAGCCCATCCCCCTTTCCTTTAGGATTTGAACAGTCATACTCGGCACACTCGTCATCCTTCTTAAAAACTCCCAGCTGTTCCAACCGATGCAGAAATATTCAGTGTAGACACGACGAGTTTTATCGACAGCAACGACTTAACATCAACACCATGGGTAACCCTTTCGAAGCCAACAGCAGCAGCAGCAGCAGCAACAGTAACAACAACAACCTGAGCCCCAATGCCCAGGCTAATACTCGGGGCCGTGCGCCTTCGGGCTTTTCCCTGCGCAGGTCGTTCAGTGGCCGCAGCCAGCGCGGCGGCGACGACTCCGGTGAGCGTCGCGGCTTATCCGCCATCTTCGGCAGCAACCCGTTCTCATCCAGTTCGCGTTCTCAGCGGGAGCGAGGGCGGGGAGAAAGCCCCCCTCCGCCGTACTCGCCAACCTTTGCCGAAGCCCCTGGTTCAAGTGAGTTCCCCCTATCCACCCACCCCTATCCCCAGTCTCAACTAACCGCAATCCCAGTCCCCGTCCCCAACGGTGACCTCCCAGACGACCAATACGCTTTCCTGCGGGAATTCAACACCATATTCCTAATTGACGACTCCCTCTCCATGAAAGTCGAGCGCCGCTGGGCCGAGACCCAAGCTGCCGTCGCCGCCATTGTGCCCATCTGCGTCGAGCGTGACGAAGACGGCGTCGATGTCTACTTCCTTAACCACAAGACGCCCGACCGGGGCGATGCGTCCCGCGGCGCCGCCGGCACCGGTTACCGTTCGCTGCGCGACGCCCAACTAGTGACCGACCTATTCACCATCGTGCGGCCCAGCCAAGCCACCCCAACCGGCATCCGTCTCGACCACATCCTGCGCGCGTACCTCTCGCATTACGAGGCCCGCGTTCGCAGTACCGGCGGCGACGTATACAGCGTGCGTCCCATCAACATCATTGTTATCACTGACGGCCAACCAACCGACGAACCAGCCGAGACCATCGCGGCCGCAGCCCGCCGCCTCGACGCCATTGGCGCGCCTCCGCACCAAGTGGGCATCCAGTTTTTCCAAGTAGGCCGGGACGCGGCTGCGACGCGCGCCTTGCGCGATCTAGACGACGACTTGTGCCGCCGCGAGAGCATCCGGGACATGGTGGACACGGCTACGTTTAACGCTGCGGGGCCGGCCGATGCCCCTTCGCTCACGGCGGACGGGATATTGAAGGTTGTGCTGGGCGCTGTCAAGAGGAAGTTAGACCGCAAGGTTTTGGTTAGAGTTGATGGGCCTGTGCGATGAAACCCGTTAAGACGAACGAAATGAATGATGGGGCTAGCTCCTCTACTTACCTATTCCACAGGGTTGATACCTAAGGATCCAGGGGTACTCCTTTTTCTTTTTCTTTTTTGTATTATCTTCTCACCTCTCACTTTAATGATACCCCTTTTTAGAGGATACGGCGGTTTCCTTCAGTCGCTGGGGAAGGAGGGAGAGCAGCTTATCAGGGGCTTAGAGAAAAGGAGTATTAAAATACGATGCTTCGTTGTACTTTTAGATTTATTTATTTACCCAGAAGGCTCTTATGGGGTAGATCCATAGATAGCGGTGTTCTCGTGCATTGAAGGTAGCATGGGCCAAATATAGAGAATCACCATTATTGACTAATCTGTCTAAGATCCCCAATAGACGCCTCTTTTTTTTTTTTTTTTTTTTAAAAAAAAAAAAAAAGTCGTTTCTAGTGTCTTAGCTTGTATTCGCCTGTGCTCACTTCCTCTACAATGTTATATCTAGGAAACTCATATTGGATTCCTTATACCCCGTAATTCAGGAGTTAGATCAACTTACTCATATAATATCGGGATTACGATTCCCCATCATAGGAAGACCGCATCAATGGCTATATTTAATCAAGAGCATCACCAAAGCAATCAATCAATCGATGAATCAATCAGGAGAGGCAAGGCGCAAGGAAATAACATCTTAAATTCAGTGAAGCCAAGTCGGCCAACAGACTATGAAACAGCAAATCCAGTGACCAATTTTGGCAATACCAACTATGAACTATGGCCAGAGCATGATTAGGGATCCATCGATCCATATCCCTAGAATTCAACTATCGCCCTAGCTGTCCAACAGTCGATATCTGCTAAGATCATCCTAGAAGATCTGAGAACCCTTACTCCTGTCGTAACTGTTGCGGGTATCATAAAACCTTGCAAGGCAAAAAGACCCGAGGAGAAGAGACCAAAGAAATTCGTGTACTAGCAAGGTTTGCAACATCTCAACTGCCTTGTTGAAAAGACCAGTTGTTCCGTGCCGTTATGCTTCTCTACCCGTGCCAAGTCATGGAACAGAGAAGACATAACGCATTGGTTGGCGAATGTGTTGCGCCATCAGAGCAAAAGTGACGGCGTCCTTTTAAGCAATCTGTGACGTCCGAGACAAGAAAGGCCTCGCCTACCAGGCCAATGTAGTAGCACCTTTTATTTCTCCTTTTCGTAACCTTCACTCCTCCCACCAAACCCCAGAGCAGAACCAAAGACCATACTCAAAGGGTAGACCGCATGGATTTTGATGATTTGCAAGTACCGCTATGCTTGCATTGCGACCATTACCGGCATGCGCCGTAGAGACCAGGAACACGGCTCTCGGAAAATCACGAGCCACAAATAAAGCACAACCGTCGGTCGTGTTGGATATCGAAGAGTACGTGTGACATTCTGCTTTTAGTAACCTCCCGATTCCATAAAGTTCGCCCTCGTAAAAACGAGAAGACGGGCCAACCAGAACGAAATGGCCAGATACTAAAGGACACCACATAAGAAAAGCCTATGGTTCCGCCTAAAGGAAATATCTGTGGCGATGACTCGTCATAGGCCAAGGTGTAATGTGTTCCGGCATATTATGCGTAAAAAAGAAGTTGCTTAGGAAAGTAGTATCGTGGTGGGCACTGTAGTCCGAAGGCCACCCCAAAAGAGCTCCTGTGCTAAGGGTATTAATAGGAGGGAATGCTTGTGTACATGTGCTTATTTCATAACCAGAACTTGTGCCTTCTTGATGCCGTGGTATTCAAGCTCGTTCTCATTACGTTCGTCGCGGACGGACAGCACCGGAGAGACGACAAACGACACCCGAGTCTGAGACATTTGCAACTCGGCAGGGGTAAGGCCCAATGCTGGGCCATTCACCGGCTCCATGGTGCCTTCGGCAAATTTGCATGCGCAATCGGGGAATGTATAGTGCAGTGTCATGCCGGATACCCACACTTTGGCGCTGACCTCCCACGTTGCTGACACCATAACTCGCAGTGGCTTAATGGCTTCCTTGTCTGTCACCGATATGGATCGAAGCGGCTGCATAATGATAGCCATCATATGGGCATGTCGCTCAATGCTCTCTTTCTTGAACAACTCTATTCTGCTGTCCTTGAGGGCGTGGGCGACAATACGGGCATGCTCATCAATGACGCGCTGTCGATCTCGGGGATTGGCTCGCCCGCCCGAACGATGGAAAGTTGTAATCTTTTCTTGGAGAGCGATAAGGTGACTATCCAGATTGCGATCGATGCCCAGGAAGATATCAGGGGAGATGACCTTCTTGAAGAGATAATCCAGTGCAACACGCATGATGATATACGGCCTGTAGGATGGAACACCAAGGAGGTAAAGCATATGATTCTTCGCCTGAGAACGGTTCGAGTAGACTAGGCTAAGAAGGTAGTTCCATGTAGTCGCCTCTCTTTTCTCTAACATCATATCAGCCACTTTGGGCTGTTCTCCTGGCTTCGAATGGCATCTGACAATATATCCTTTAGTAAGTCCGAATATGTGATCGAGCCCATTCTGGATGTCGGCCATAGACCATTCGTCCTTATGGCGAGGAAATGCGGCACCAGAGACTTGCTTTTCACCACTAGGAGGGCGTACTAGTTGCTTTTGAGAAGCATCATTGTTGGATTCGCGTCCTGAACTACCAGGGTTGATAAGAGCAGGCCAGTTAGAAGGACCACCAACGGGAGAGCCTTTGCGAGCAGTAGCGGAGGTCGCAGACGGAACGTTCAGGTGACCATGAGATTCAGTCGCTTGGCCATGAGGATCCCACGA